AATAAATAAATAAACAGAAAAGAAGCAGTGTTGGCAAGGGTGTGGAGAAATTGGAACCCGTGTCCGTCGCTGCTGGGAACATAAAAGGTGCAGCTGCAGTGGAACTGTTTGGTGCTTCCTCCGAAAGTTAAACTTGGAGTTCCCATAGGACCCAGCAATTCCGCTCCGAGGCATCTACCCCCAAAAAAACTGAACACAGAGACTCAAATAAGTCCATGCTCCCCCAGTGTTCACAGCAGCATTCTGCACCATGGCCAACAGGTGGAAACCACCCGTGTCCATCAGGGGATGATGGATAAACACGTGGTCCATCCACACAGGGGACTACCACTCAGCCAGGGAAAGGAATGAGGAACTGACGAGAGGGTCCGCGTGAAGTCAGGGGGCCTAGCAACGTGGAAGAACCTTGAGTGACGGGAGCCAGACACAGAAGCCCACGTGACGTGGGAGTCCATTTGTATAAAATTCCCCCCGTGGGCAGATCCGTACACAGACGGCAGGTGAGTGATTGCTAAGGGCTCGGTGGCGGCGGGTGGGGGAGAGTGCGTGACGGAAGGCGTTATTTTGGTGATGCGAATATTTTAGAACTAGATAGAGGTGGTGCTTGCACAACACTGTGACTGTACTTTATGCCACTGAATTGTTCACTTTAAAATGGTTAATCTTATGTCGTGTGAATTTTACCTCAATCAATTTAAAAAAAAAGGCAGCTGGGGAACAGCCTGTGACTGTCTGCACCGCCCACACACCCTTCCCATCACCTGCTCCACATCCGTGTTGCATCGCACGTCCCTGCCCCCCACCTGGGACAGGTGTCAGTGTCTGACTCAAAGGGCCCCTCTCCTGATCGGTGTGAGAGGATCTGAAACGCGGTCGGGGCCAGGCAGGCGCTGTGTGAGGGCGGCCTGGGCGAGTCAGAAGGCGCCATGGGGCCCGGGTTTGGGTGGCCATTGGGGGCAAGGGCAACGGGAGACAGAGGACAGGAGCAGCCATCCCAAGGGAGGTCAGAGCGCCCCGAGAGAGGCCCGTGTCCCCCCAGCCTCCCGATTGCCCCTGCCAGCCCCCGGGGGCTCAGCTGACTTCCCAGCCATGCTCCTCCCCTTCCGCAGGGACCTGTGAGCCCTGAAGCTGGGCAGCACTGTGTCTGCTGCTTAAAGCCACAGACATGATGGAAGGCCCTGAATGCACTTATCCAGAAAGCCATGATTACGTGCATATACATGTGCATAAGAAAGTCATTGGTCAGCGCTGAAGGCTGTTAGAAATCCAACTTGGAAAACTCGTCAAGGGGGAGAATCAAGCATCTACCCTGCCTTTCCTGTTCGAGCCTAGGGCTTGGGGTAACCAAATAGCGACTACAGGGAAGCCTGCAGCTCATGCAAGGCAGGGACGGCAGCTGGGGTGACGTCATTTTGCGCCACTTGTGAAGGAAGGAATGAAGGAAGGAATGAATGAATGGTGCTGACAACGCCAGCCAGCACGTGCCACCTCATGGACACACACAACCCCACCCGTGAGGTGTTCTCCCCGAAGTGGGTCGCACTGATGTGCAGCGAGCCTGCAGGTCTGACCGCCCCTTTCCAGGGAGAACAGGGAGCAGAAGGTGGTGTTCACACCACCACGGGGCGCAACCCGCAAACCCCACACCGTGGAACCTCTACAGAAGGTGTTTCTGGACCAACAGCAAGAAGGAGAAGAAAAGGAAGGGGAAAATTTAATGATTAAAATACACTTAAGAGACCGCTCAACCAATTGCAACATGTGGACCCTACTCAGATTCTGATTCCAATAAACAAGGTGAAAAAACCTGGGGAGGCAACAAGAAACTGGAATACCCACTGAAGCTCGGGCAATATTAGGAATTAATCTTGAAGTTGGGGTATTGTGGGGTTTTTTTAAAGAGCCGTTCTTTGGAACACATTTTGAAATTATTTATGTATGAAACAATATGATGTCTTGAATGTGCTTCAAAATACCCAGTGTGGGTGGTGGGTGTGGGGGGTAGGGATGGTGCAGGATTGGCTGTGAGTTGGCGACTCTGAAGCTGGCTGCTGGGGACGTGGTGTTACACGATTCTCTCTACCACTGGGTGTGAATGCTTCCGTAATAGAGAACTTCTTTAACCCACCCCCAAAATTCTCGACAACCCAAGGTCCCCCACCACGGGACTGGTTAAGTGATGGCCCTGCTCTGTGACGGAATACTATGCAGCTATGAAAAAGGATGGTCTCCAACAACATTTGCTGATGCGGAACACCGAATACTACAGTGAATTCTGTAACAGTAACTTGTCCAGGAATTAGGATACATCGGGAATCTGAGAAGGCAAATCAATCGCACAAATGATAGAAGGCAAAACGGACGTGATTACTATCTGGGAGGCTCTGGAAGAGCCACAGGAAAGAGGAGGGCGGTGGGGACGAGCTGGCGGGAGCTGGATCCTGTCACTCGGAAAAGCGCGTCGTGAAAACAAAGGTACACCTTCTTGGTCGACACGTTGTTGGTGAGGATACGATACGTGTCTACACAAATCAGGTTAAGGACAGCCTGTGGGCACACCAGGATGTGAACGTCAAGCCAACGAGGGTGAAACATTTTAAACATCTCTTTTCTTAGCGCTGAGTCTCCAAAAGAAAAAAAATAAACGATTTCTATAAATTGCCCATTAAAAAAAACAAAAACGCGTGAACAACATATGGTTCCGAACTCATTGTTGCCGCGGGAAATACATACACAGATCCTTTCACAGAAAGCTGTGAGGACACAACAAAGAGTGTTAAATAAATTAATGACACCATCTGACTCTTTCTTGGGGGGGCAGGACGGGCCTCCTAGACAGAGCGTTCGCACGTCTCCGTGAGTCATATCAGAGTCCACCCGCCACGCTGTCACCTGAGACGAACAGCCAGCACGCGCACACGCAGCATGTGTCCACCTGACGGCGTGTACGAGTGTTCGTGGCTGCACAGGACCTTGGGGGTCATCCACCCCCTCCCCCGCCCACGTGGGACTCAGAGGGAAGGCAGAGCAGACGCAGGAGAGGACAGAAGGAAGCCAGGAGGACAGTCGTCCGCCGCAGCAGAGGCTTCGGGCTGATCTGAAGGCCCTGCCTCGGGGGCCGCCCCCACCCGCTGTGCCCACACCCGGCAGACCCCACGTTGGGCAGGCACTTCTCTGCCAACCCTCAGCGTCCTGTGGCTGGGATTCCTCCCCCCTCCCCCCTGACCCGCAGGCCCCAGGTCCCCCTGGACTCACCCCAGCTCTGGGCGTGGACTATACCAGCCCGTCATAGAGGGACAGCGCCTGCACGATGGAGGGGTCGGCCTTGGACCCCTCCTGGAACTCCTGCAGCGTCAGCTTCCCGTCGGCGTTCTGCAAGCAGAGAGGCAGCGGCTTAGCGGGAGGGGCAGCCCCATCCTCCAAGGAGGAGAACTTTGGGAACCTACACCTGGATTCCTCTAGACTCCAGCTGATGTGCCTTTTTCCCTCTGACCCTGCTATGCATCCCTTTGCTGTAATAAACCACAGCCATGAGTACAACCATCCTAAATCCTGGGAGTCGTTTTAGGGAGTCACCACATAGGTGGGTGGCTATGGACCCTGAAACACAGCCATGGGTTCTAGGAATTTATTCTACAAAAATAAGCAAGCTTCCTGGCTGGCCGCCCCGAGCCTGGCTCTGGCCCGCTTCCTCATTGGGGACCAGAGGACTTGCTGGCCTCCGCGGGGCACTGAGCTGGCGCTGGAGGCACCCCGAACTC